CCCCTCTCATGTGCTCTCTCTCTCATATTCTCTCTCTCAAATAAATAAAATCTTAAAAAAAAAAAATTTAACATAGTTTTCCATTTTAAGCAACCAGCCACTGATCTGGGCTAATCAGAAAAACTTAACAGTAGTGACTGTAGAAACCTTAACAAAACCTATTTCTCTAGATTTCAAAGGATAAATTACTTTTTCATTCACCTAAAACGTAACATTACAGGAACTAATTTCTATATAGAATGATATATGATACTAGATGCCCCCTCTAAAAGAATGAAACACAATATACATGCTTTCAGGACATAGACAACATTTATAATATAATCACAAATGGTTCTTATTCAAGACTTTAAGTTCCTGCTTATTCACCACGATTAAGATGTTGTTACAATGACACACACTGATAAAGTGGAGTCATATAATGTAGCCAGCTTTCTTGGACACATGATAGAAGATGGTATGAATTATAATTTGATAGAATACAAAAGAGTCAATAAGAGCTGCAGAAAACCTTAAAAAATTCAGGGTGGACCACAAAGACTTTAAGACATCACTGTCAAGCAGAAGGTTCTGCTATGATGGAAATGTTTATAATCTGTAGAGTAGCCACATGGGGCTGCTGAGCATTTAAAATAAGGTCAGTATAACTGAGGAACTGAAGGTTTAACTTTATTTTACTTAAGTTAAATAGCCAAACATGGCTAGTGGCTACCATACTGAACAGCAGAGCTCAAAGACTTGAGTGATTAGAGGGCCAAACACTGTTTTTTAAGAAATTAATCTATGAAAGGGGGCAAGGTGGTCAAAAAGATGCAAACTTCCAGTTATTAAATAAACAAGTCATGGGAATGAAATGTACAACATAGTGATTATAGTTAACAATACTGTATTGCATATTTGAAAGTTGCTAAGAGTAAATCTTAAAAGTCCTCATCATAAGAAAAAATATTCTGTAACTACGTAAGGTGACAGGTGGTAACTAGACTTACTATGATAATCATTTGCAATGTATACAAATATCAAATCGTTACGTTGTACACATGAAACTAATATAATGTTACATGCCAATTATACCTCAACAAAATATTTTTCTGAATAGTACTTATTCTTCATATATAAAATACTCATGTGAGATTTTGAGTAAATTGCCAAGAAAATCACCAACACCAATTTCTTTTTTTTTTTTTTAAGATTTTATTTATTTATTTGAGAGAGAGAGCACATGAGAGGGGAGAGGGTCACAGGGAGAAGCTGACTCCCTACCGAGCAGGGAGCCCGATGTGGGACTCGATTCAGGGACTCCAGGATCATAACCTGAGCCGAAGGCAGTCGCTTAACCAACTGAGCCACTCAGGTGCCCCACCAACACCCATTTCCTTAGCATAAAGCTAAGAGAAAGGGAAAAAAAAAGGAAATGAATCTAGATCACAGGTGTAGATGTTAGCATTACCAGCAGTTCACAAACATTCATCAAACATAGGAAGTAGACAGGGGAGGTAAAGGAGGAAAAGAAGAGAGAATCTATTCTGGCCCAAAGGTCATAAAAATTTATTTCGTACAAATCTTCCTCAGAACCACTGAAAACCTTGAATTTATTAAGAATGAAAAACAATAGTTTAAGATAAAGATTTCATCCCTATTTACAGTAAAAGTTATTTCCATTCAACCTTTCAACAGACTTTTCTCCCCCAAAGTAGTACACCGATGCAATCCCCACTTAATTATCTGGGTGTTAAAAATGATAATCAGAAGCAAGAGGTCTTTAATGGCTGTACAACGATTTCTTAATGTTGAAAAAGCAAAGAGAATAAATCAAATCTGTATTTCATTAGTGCTTAATAGGGACATTTCAGTTTCAACCTACCAGCACAGATCGGGATTTCTCATCTCCAACTATGTTAAAGACACTAAAAACTACTGCACTGTGTATTAAAATGGCACTTTTATATTTTCATTATCAAAATTTTAAAAAATGTAAGAAGTATAAAAATAAATTAAAATAACCTGTAACCCTCTACTTAGAGAAACTTGGGAAGTTTCTGATAATGTATGGCCTTCCAGACTTCTATCCTGTTCATATAATAACATTCCTCTTTGGGCTTCAGCTTCCCCATCTGTAAAAAAGGAACAACAATACTATCCATCCAAGAGATGTTTGTGAGGATATTAAGTTCATACATGTGAAGTGCTTAGAACAATACCTCACACATAGTAAATATTATCTAAGCATATACTTCTATTATTTAAAAATTTTAATACAGACTGGTTCCTTAGACTCATCTCTCAAATCTGATAATACAGGTAAAAGATAAGCAAAATTTTTTTCCTATACTGTACTCAAGAGGACTCTAGGTTTATGCTTCTCCTTGTAGGACATGAAGAAGTTCCCTGTGCCTTTGCTAATACTAAAGATTTATCATTAACTTTTCCAATTTCATTGGCAAAAGTAGCATTTCACTATTGTTTTTGTAAATATCACATATTATTCAATAACTGTCTACTTGACTACATCTGTTATCAAATTCTAAGCACCTGGAGATAGGACTGTATCTTTTTCATTATTACATCCCCCATATGTAATCCAGTGCTTGTGGTAGGTGCTCAATATATATTCATTAAATGAATACATCTCTCTACAACTAATGAGCTTGAACAATGAGGTTGAATCTGTTTATTAGACACTTGTATTCCTTCTTTATGAAATATATATTTGTTTTCTTTGCCCATTTGTCACATTGTAAAAGTTAAGTGGAAATAAGGCATCATGGCAGACCCACACTAAGATGCAAATATTCTCTCTTACTAGTTCTTCTACACAAACTGGATTATAGCTGAGTAACTTTTTCAGGAAGTAGATGTGGGTGGTACACCGCCTGTGCTGGTATATTTAAGAAAACATCTTTTTCTTGACTTTATATGTAAACTCCACCCCAGCTAGGGCAGAATTCTAGGTCATTATCCTTCCTACTGAAAACTCTTCTGGCATTTAAGTATTCGGAACAAAAATCTGGGGACAGTCTGATCCTATTATTTGTGTAGGGGTCTAGCTTTATCAGCCAAAGATACTGGCAATTACAGCCTAACCCTTCCATGATGTCAGAGGGGAGATGCGTGAGATCAGGGTGAAGGATAACAAGAAGAATGAAACAAGCAAGCGTGCCCAGGCAGCACCCGGAATTGTGGGGTGGCTGTGTGACACAAATCTACCCAGATGCTGGCCATGAGTCAGTGTCATCTGATGGTAGCTTTTCTGCTCAAGCTAAATACTGATGAAAATGATCCTGAGTTCCATGGTGGGCCAGGACAGCAACAGCAAGTCAAGGAAACTTCTCATTTGTTTGTGCCTTTTCCACTGGCCTGTTTTAAGAAGCCTAGGCTTAAAGAAATACTGGGGACCCAATCATTTCCATCTCTTTGTTAAGAAGATGGAAGGTGCTTCTAGTGTTCTTGCTTGGCCCTCCCCTACATGGCTCCCCTTCATCAATGACCTTGCAGTCTGACAAAAGACAAAAATCATGGGCAAAGGACAAAAACCAATCATCAATCAATCCCATTATATCCGAATTCTACAATCTACCTCTGACAAAGGCAATCATGGATCAGCTTTTTGTCACTATAGTTTGTATTTGTCATATGGTATTTATACTTTTGCATCCGGTTTATTTCCCTTAACATACTGATTGTGAGATGTATCCATGATGTCGTATTGCACGTATCAGCACTATGTTCCTTTTTCTTGCTAAATAGTATTTTCATTGTATGGACATACCACATTTTATTTTTCCCTTCACCTATAGGTAGACATTTGGATTGTTCCAGTTTGGGTTATTAGAAATAAAGCTGCTATAAACATGTATATATAATATAATTCTTGTTGTGGACATATATTCTTACTTGTCTTGGGTAAACAACTCAAAGCAGAATGACTAGGTCATATAGAAGATGTTTAACTTTTAAGTAAATGCCAAATCAGCAATATTATATCATGTCAGATTGGAAGGCTGTTGATTTGATTATATTCAGAAATGTGATAAATTTCAAATTAGTATTTACGTAGGGTACAAGGTGAGAATCAATGTTCACTGTTTTCTCTCATGAATATCCAGTTATCCCAGTACCGTATTTTGAAAAGATTTTCTTCCTTGAACTGCTTTGGCACTCTGCTGAAAGTCAACTGGCCACATATATGTGGGTCTATTTCTGGACTCTCTTCTGTTCCATTGATTTATATTTTTGTATGTATCCTGAAATATCCTTAAATCCATTTGTTAGTTCTAATAATTGTTTTGTAAATTACTGAGGATTTTCTATGTAAATGGTAATATCATCTACAAGTAGAAATCATTTTACTTCTTCCTTTCAGATCTTTAGACCTTTTAGGTTTTTGTTTTCTTGCCTTATTTCAATAGCTAGAACCTCTAGTACAGTGTGAGACAGAAGTGATAAAAACTATCCTTGACTAGTCCTTACCTTAAGAGAAAAGCATTCAATACCTACCATTAACTATGACGTTAGCTGTAGGTTTTTCATACGTGCCCTGTATCAGATTAGGGAAATCCACTTCACTCCTAGCTTCCTGAAAGTTTTTATCATGAATGGATGTTGAATTTTATCAGAAATTCATAAGGGGGCATTTTCAGGTTATCTTATTTGCCATACCACCAGAATTACAAGTTTGATCAACTTCTTCAAAAGTATGTGCTTCCTTTCCGATCTGAGTGCTATGTTCTTCCCCTCTAACATCGAAGGATCTTTTTGTAGGTCCCACATTTGTTTCTTTTTTTCTCTTTAGTCATCCCTGTACAAAGAAAGGTCTATTCCTTGTTTTCCTACGAATAAATGTGCATGACCTCTTCATTATACTATTCATTATGAATCTGATTATTCTAAGAACTGTCCCCTTTGACCCTAAGCTGGTGCACAATCCACAGTTAGCTTTCTAGTGATGTGCAGCCTTTACTTCATACACATATGCTAGCTCGACAAGAATCTCTTAATTTTGTTTCCTGATTACCTTATTAATGAATAACAATTTCTAATGCTCATTTCTGATTAAACTAAAGTGGTCAGTAATTTGTTCCCTTGCCAGCCACAGCAAATACAAAATTACAAACCCAAGTCTGTACGGTTCTCGGGCCTCTTCCCAGCACTTCTCATACCTAAGTGCATTAGAACACAACTCCCAGTGCAGTAGTAGGCAGCTTCTCTCTTAAATCAGTAGCAATCTCTGAACTATCTGTTTCCACCTCCTTCCACCCATCTCAGGGATTCTTCTAGCCTTGAGTGTAGGAATTTCCTGTTGGTGGTCATCAGATCTTATCAATAATCCTGATTTCCAACGCCAAAAGAAAAAAACAGTGTACCTCTCTTTAGTTTTATCTTTTATCAAAGGGAGAATAAAGAATATGAATCAGATCTTAGTAGTATTCATCCATCATACCATGAAAGTCCTATGATTATGTTCTAATAGTATGTGAGAATTCAAAATTAAATGAATATGCATTTAATCAGGCAAATTAGTTTATTACATGAAATCTACATTAACAAGCTAGGTAGATTCTAGTTTTGCTTTTGTAAATTAAGCCTTAAGCAATAATCTGATATTAATTTTCAGAAGACTAATTGGAACACACTTGACCAGGATTGTTTTTTTTTTTTTGCTGGGGGGGGGTGTTGGTTTTTTGGTTTTAAAGATTTTATTTATTTATTTTAGAGAAAGATAGCGTGAGCTGGAGGAGGGGCAGAAGGACAGAAAGAACCCCACGCAGACTCTCCACTGAGCATGGAGCCCGACGTGGGGCTCAATCTCAGGGCTCTGAGATCATGACCTGAGTCAAAATCAAGAGTCAGACACTTAACTGACTAAGTCACCCAGGCACCCAATTGACCAGGCTGTTTTTAACAGTGGCAAAATGTCAGATGACAAAAAATGGAATACAAAAAGACAATGGTATATTCTCCCGATAGGTTCTGATCCTAGTTAAGGAACACAGAACTGGGCTAGACTGAATTATTTAGGGTCCACAGTGATCCAGAGTCAGCCTAGCCTTAGAAGATCTATCAGAAAAAAGCTGGTTCTAAAATGAAAAATAGAGAAATGATTACTCTGTTGAAATGTTAAGCTTCCAACACAACACTTAAATCCAACTCAGCAAGGTGGAAGGACAGAGGACCTGAATCTGTGTGACATTCTGAAGTCATCCTAAAGCCTTAAATACTGGTCCCCAATTTTTTCATTAACAATTGCGCAAATAGCAACAACCTGATTGTCCTTTCTTGTGAAACAAAGAACCAGATGAAAACAGTGCAACTTCTACTAAAAATGAGAGGTCCCAGTGTTTTTTGTATCTATTTAGGATCCTTAAAAAAAAAAAAAAAAAAACTGTTTCCCAAGATGGTTCTTAGATAAAACTTCCTTTAATATACCTTGACATGAGATCAGTTTTTATGGAGAAGAGACTACCTGCCTTATGTGTCTCCTTCCCAAGCTTCACATCCAAAAGGCAAGAAGAGCAACAAAGCAGACAGTGGAAGTGTAGAGTGTACAAGAAACAAAGACTTCAACTGAGTAATCCCATCTGAGATGACCCAATAGTAGGCTGCTAGCCCAAAGAAATGCTATTGCAATAGTCCAAGCATGGTTTATATCGGGACATTTTCCCTTCCTGAATCTGGGATGCTAACAAGCAACTGAAGGTAAGAAAGAAATTAGCATTAAATGAATGCTAAGCATCTTCACTTTAATGTCTCTTAATCCAGACACATCAGGAGGTACTTGTTGTTACAATCATTTTTAAAGATCATATAAAGCTTAGCCTTTCAACACCATGCTTTCATGGAACACAGACACAGGATATGAATATCTGACAATCCAGAACTAAGAATATGACATAAGGAATTGAAAGTACACTTACCCAATGCCCTGAGCTATGTTTTCTAATTGCCGACACATACAAGACCGAACTTCATATTCTACATCTTGACAGAGTGATTTTACCAGAGGAAGTATTTCTCTTTTAATGCTTAGAAGGGAAGGAAAGGAACATGCAAATGGGTGTTTTAGAATAATTAAAATTTTCAAACAGTTATTATCAAAATCTTAGCCAATATACTTTAATAGAAAGCTTTATAGTTTACATGGTATTTTCACATATATCATTACATTTGGATGTTATCTTTTGTTATTTGTAAATTATATATATGCCTGGATCTTTTTAAAGTAATGGTTAATTTTGGATTGAAAGACTACAGGCAAATGGAATGTCCAACAACCATCAACCAAAATATTTTTTTATTTTATATTTTACTCTTGTGTCATATTATACAACATTTCATTCTTTCCACTTGGTATTTATCATCTGGGCAGAGAGTAGCATATAAATTATAAACATTCTCCATAAAACCCCAAAATAAGATAAATTATTCAAAATAATGAATTCATAACAATAATGGAAGAAATCAGACAGTCTATCTTTAGGTCAGGTTTGACAGTTTTTGAAGTCTATAGAATAATACATTTTATACTCAAAACTACACTAGGTGTGTGACAGAGAAGACTAAGATGAGAAATAGAAAAAAAGTTAACCATATTAATTTTGAAATGCCATGAGATGAGAAGAAATGCATCTGAATAAGTAGGCTTCCAAGAATTCTGTAAAGTTAAAACAGCTAAGCTTGTATGCAGTATGGAATAAGTCTAATATAATTGTTAATCATATGACCATCATACATTTTAAATCAATTTAATTGAATAAAGTAGACAAAAATTATATACAAATACTCACGTATGGGCATCAAATTTGTTGGTCAATTTTCCTAAAATTTTACAACTAACTAAACGAGACTGGACTGTTTGGGAAAGCTGTGCCTTGGAAACAAGTGGGTTCAAAATCTAAAGAGAAAAGATTTAGAGAACAAATTCACAAAGTGTTATATATTCTTGCCACTAATGTCAGCTACTTTCCTAAAGGAATATTTTAAGGTCCCAAGTGTTTTTAAGGAACCTGAATTATAATGTGAGGTGCTCATAACCTGAATCACCTTGTTTGCCTTCTGGCTTACTAAGGTAAACGTGATGATAAATTACATAATTAAAAACCAATCAGGCACATAAAAACTGAATTAAAGCTTATGGTGAATTCTGCAGTGATCCGTATGCACATAAAGTATCATTGTGAAATGTACATTTTCAAAAGAAAAAAAATCAGATTACCGCATAGTCTGAAATTTATTTTTATTCCATATAAAATTTTCATATTTATCCTAAAGGGATGCAAAACAATATAGCTTCAGATAGATTCTATTAAGTAATTCTGTCATTTGAATGCAATTCTGATATTGTATTATGTACATGCTGGGCACTCAAAAACGCAACATCATGACAGACCGTAAAGAACTATGAAGATCAGATCCTGATTCTGGCCCCCACTCTTTAATTTGTCCAAGTAATCTTGCTATTTCTGGTCCCAAGGTGGCTCATCTACTTAAGATGGATATCAGAATATGTCCTACTAAGAACCCTCCAAGTTCTAAAACTCCATGGCTCTGATAAAAAGTCAACTGGTTTTTTCCTCTCAACAAAGTAGCCAGAAATGCTGAATACATAATGATAAATACCATTTGAAACTTGAAGATGTAAAATAAAATAAACTGTGTATTTAAAATCTTAAAAATCACATAAAATAATAAATGGCATTCTAGAGTAAAAACTGCATTCTACTATATAGCACTCTTCAAAAAGTATCAATAACAGACGTGAACATTAAGTTCAACGTTTAAATGTGTGTAATCATCTAGATGTTTGGCATTAAGTTTACAAACATCCTCATAACTGAGTAAATCTTCCCATTTTCAACCAAGTATTTTGACGTTGAGATAGGACCACAAACCGTATGAGGGCAAAGGACAAAAACACTTCATGAAATATACAGAGGAATTTCATTGACAGATAACTACTTTTTAAACCACGACATATTTGAAAAGAATATGGGGATGTTGTTCAAAGAATGAAAAATCATTTCATTAGAGAATAAATTTCCTTTCTAATTTTCTCATTCTCTCATTTTAATTTACTAAAACTTTTAGAGATGGGTATATTGAACAGTGTTAAAAATTTAAAAGCAAACAAGAAATTAGTAACAATATCTGCAACAAACATAACAAAAGATTCGCAACCTTGATAAACAGCACAGAAAAACAGTGATCAAAGGATATGATCGGACAATTCCAAAAGAACAGAATTGATATAAATATATGAAAAAATGTTCAACAGCATAATAATAAAAAAAATTCCAATTAAAATATAATTCCATTTTTTGGCCCATCAAACTAAATTGGAACACTATAGGGGCGCCTGGGTGGCTCAGTCAGTTAAGCGTCTGCCTTCGGCTCAGGTCATGATCCCAGGGGTGTGGGATGGAGCCCTGTGTCGGGCTCCCTATTCAGTGGGGAGCCTGCTTCTCTCTCTCCCTCAAACCCTCTCCCTCTGACCCTCCATTTACCCTCCCCCTTGCTCATGTTCTCGCTATCTCTCAAATGAATAAAAAAAATCCTTAAAAATAAATAAATAAATAAATAAATAAATAAAATTGGAACGCCATTGCTGAGTAAAGTCCAGGGAAACAGGCATTTCCACATATTGCTAGTAAGAGTCTTAAGAATATGAATGCCCTCTGACCTCCTAATTCCACTTTTTTGGTAGCTACAGTTAAGAAAATTTTCTGAAACTTAAAAAGCTCTACAGAGATGCTCATTAATGCCTTATTTTAATAATAAAATACTGAAAGCAGGCTTAAATGTTTAACAAGTAAAATATTTTGTACCTACTACCAACGACTTTAAAACAACACAGGAAAATAATGCTAAGTGAAAAATAACCATATAGAAATTCAACATCATTACTAAAAAAACAAAAAGCATGTACAGGGAAAAATCTGAAATGATTTTTCAGATTTTGGCTACATGCAGAATCATGATTTTGCTTCCTACTATTTTCTGTATCACTTATATTTTCCATAATGAACATGTGTTGCTTTCAGAGTGGGAAATAAGCTTATTTTTCTTTTTAAATACCACTTTTTATCAAAAACAAAAACAAAAAACCTCAGAATGACTTACTTAATAGTATTTACAAAAAAAAAAAGTATTACCTCATGTCTTAGGGTTTCTTTGGGCAATACTTCCATCACAGACAGAAGAGTCTCCAGCCAGGCATTGCTGACACCTGATTAACACAGAAAACACACACCAAATTAAATGTCTCACAAATTTAGTTTCAAGTCAGCCATTAAGTTACAATATTTAATGATAAAATGGGATGATTATTTTTATTACTATTTGAAGAAGTCCCTCTTTTTTTTTTTTTTTGCCTTGGCCAACATCTAGAAAACATTTATATCTTTAAAAGTAATATGGGGGGGATATCTTTCAGCCAAATTGTGTATTTTTTTGCTGTACGATAATACCATACACATAAATAATGTAAAATTCAAAAATTCTAAGAAGCAAGTATAGATCATAAGATGAATTAATGGGTCTTCAGCCTTCAAGGACACTGAACTTGGAGGGTTTTGTAAGGAAAGAGCCATGGCTGTTTTCAGTCACACTAATGACCAGTTATCCTCGTCAGGCTACCAAGATTCCAAAAACATCATGGCCACATCCAAGACACAACAAACAGGTACAGAATGAAGCACGCCAGGCTGCTAACCTGCATCCCGGTGTTCCAGATGTAGCAGAATGACTTGGAGGAAGGAGTGGGCATACGTATGAATTGACACCGAATCTTCCTGTAGAATGGTCAAGAATGACACCGCAGCTGTTAACTGCATTTCCACTCCTGCAACAGACAGGACTTCCTGCATAATCAGAAAGAGTTTGCTATTACAGAGATGAGAGATCAGAAACTCTAAGTTTTAAAAATCCAAGGTCAGAGAAACCAAACATAGTCATATTCCACAAAATATATGACCTTTAAGCGTATGTACTTCCTCTTATTACCTTAAGAAAACTCTATTAATCTGCTCCTTATTATTTAACTCATTACACCACAAAAAAGTTTAAATGTCTTAGGCATTTACAAAATAAGATTCCACTGCTTTTTAAAATGAAAATTATAAATATAGATAAACCTCTAAATAATAGAATAGGGATTTTGATAGCTCTCAATTTCTAATTTTGCTATTTATATTGTACAGTTTGCCATCAGACCTAGAACAATAATATCAAAGGTCAATCACATGTGTTTTCATTACTTGTACTTCTGCTTCAAAAAATAAACATTATGCATTTTACTATAAAAAAGGAATACACTTAATGGGCGCCTGGGTGGCTCAGTTGGTTAAGCGACTGCCTTCGGCTCAGGTCCTGATCCCGGAGTCCTGGGATCGAGTCCCGCATCGGGCTCCCTGCTCCGCGGAAAGCCTGCTTCTCCCACTGACCCTCCCCCCTCTCATGCTGTTTCTCTCTCGCTCGCTCTCTAATAAATAAATAAAATCTTTTAAAAAAATAAAAAATAAAAATAAAAAGATAAAAAAGGAATACACTTAAGATTGTACAAACGTATTTTCCCCTTGAAACCACTGACGGGTACATAAATTACCATGCAGTAAACTGTTCTTAAAAGGAATTTTTTAAATATAAGAATGTTTCTAAAAATTAATTATATTCATAGCCATCTCCATTCACCATTTTAAAAAAATTAACATATATTCAAATTTTAAAACTACATGAGATATTAGTTTTCAACACATCAGAAAGTAAAAAAAAAAATTTTCATATAAACCTCATCAAAGATATTACGTCTCTAGAAGAGAAAGTGTGTGTGTGTATGTGCGTGTGTGTGTGTGTATGTGTGTTTAATGTAAAGGCAGCTAAAAGTATTACTTTGCTTAATCAGTTATGTCAATTATAGGAATTGCCCTTGAATGCCTATTTTATAACTAACATAATAAAGTTGGTAGAACAACGTGGAACTTGCAGCCATAAAACAAAGTTTCATATCTGTGACCTCAAAAATTAATCTCTCTGTATTATTTCCTAATCTATAAAATGTGAATTGTAGTACCATCTTCTCAGAGATTTAAATCATTTAAGCAGAGTTTTCATGACTTAGCAACTTGTGTAAACTGGGCATTTAAATAATGACCACTAGCTATCCACCGGTCTCCTCTACACGAGGCTAATAGGAATCTCATCTTGTCCACACCTGAACTGATCTCTCCCCAAAACCTGCTCCTCCTCCAATCTTCACCTTGGCAAACAGTGAATGACAGCCCCGACCTTCTGGTCGCCAATCCAAAAACTCTGAGGCCAGTCCTTAGCTCCTCTCAGTCCCTCACTCACCACGGATAGCCGGCCAATCCTGATCCAGAACCTGACCACTTGCCATCTCCACCACTACCACCCTGATCCAAGCCACCATCACCTTCAGCCTGAATTATCCCAGTAACCTGTTAACTAGTCCCTGCTGCCATTACTGCCCCACTACTGTCTAGTCTCTATACAGTAGCCAGAGAGATTCTTATAAAAAATAAGTCGGATCCTGGCACTTTTCAGCTCAACACTCTCCAAGGGCTTTCCATCACACTCAAAATAAAAGTCAGTCTATGCAATGACTTCCCACATCTGTTCCCACTTCCCACTTTTCCCAGATTTCCACATGATTGGCTCCCTGATCTCACCCAAGCCTTTATTCAAGTATCACCTTTCCAAGGAGCTCCTCCCCGAAGACCCGATTTTATACGGAAAGCCACTCCCCCACTCCAGCTCTCACCACCTCCTTTATATTACAGATGTATTATCTCCACCATCCAACATGCTCACGTGCTTATGTTCCATCTCCCATCCCTAAACACGAGCTTCAGGACTGCAACAGTTTCTGGCTGTTGAGCTCATAGCTGCACCCCACCTCCTCGCACACAGCAGGCATTCAGTAAGTAACTGCCGGATGACTCTTAGACCCTTTGACCTAAACCTTCTACTCTTGACACTCTCTCCCTTCACAGACGTTTTCCACATCCCTGCTGTCTTCTCCCCCAGTGCATCTCTGCAAACCAGGATGCACACCAAGTACTCAGACTTCTTGATTCATATGGTAGGACCATGGCCAGTCATCGTTCCGGGACGTGACAAGTCATTTTATAGCAGAAGAAGCAGACTCGGGGTTATCAATGTTCTGCTGAAGGCCAGCGAGCTAGTGATTGGCAACTCTTAAGACTTAACCTTTGTCTGCCTGATGCCAAAGCTGAGTACTGAAATTCTTCCTCGTGGATTCTACACTTCCATTTGTCATTTATTAAGGCCTGGCTTAAATCAATCCCAAGCTTTCATGGGGTAGTGCGGGAGATCTGGCAGTGGCTTTACTGTGGCAAATGTTTAATCGGCATGGTTAATTCCCAGGAAACCTACCACACATTCAGACTTTTGTATCACACACACAAATATTATTTTACAAGGTTTTTCAACCAATACCCAATTACATATCTCAAGAGTTCTTGGCTGAAAGAAAAAGAGAAGGAATGATAGGTGTAAAGCAAAAGCAGCGACTGGTCTCTGAAATCGTGTGGCACAATCATATCTCCCTGCTTTATTGTTTCCAAAACAAACATCTGTTCCACACTAACTGTTCTGGATCTGGAAAACACTCTTAAAAGATTTGATGTGGCCAGTATACATCGCTTACAGGTTTCAGAACACACAGCCTTTATTTAGAAACAGAAAGTACTTTGCAGGGAAGTATTAAACTATATTGTGAGGGCCACAGTGTACATTCCGGGTCACGGGGTCTGCGGTTTTAAGTTCCAAGAGATGTAATTCTGCCCCCTCTGAAAGCCATTAGAGTCTCAGGTTTTGTACGTATGCAAGCTTTATGCAAAAGAAGAACATGAGAAGCTCTCCAACTTCATATCTTCTTACTGCATTACCTAGTCTTGACTCCCGCGGCAACATTTGCCCCAAATATTTTGCATTTAATTTTCGAAAAATCCTCAAGTCTTATCAGGATTTGGATTTTTCTCTTGTTGTGCTGACTTCAACATCTGGGACTGTCCACTGTTAAGAAACCAGCACAGACTAAGAGATTTTATCACTGCTAAAAATCGATTTCTAAACATATTTTTCTGAAATATAATACAATAAGAGTTTGACACTTACCAGTAACTGTTCTCCTCCACAGAGTCACACCCTCTGGACAAACATAGTGAGATCCATACTCTCTGGGTAAATAAGTGTGCATCCTCATGGACCTTGGGAGACACTGAAAAGGAAATTCCTCTATTGCTTACGTGCATGCCTTAATGTCGGTTTGCCCCTCTTACATCCTATTGTATGGCTGGCATTCCAACCTGAACTCCTCAAAAATGAAATGAGACATTTGATAAATGAGTACATGGTACATCTCCAAATTTAAAAAACTATTCCCACTCGAGGAAGGAGAATGTTCTAGACACTTCTCTGTTTGAACTCATTCTGTAGTCAGCGTGAGTAGTACAAGACAGCGTTTTGTAAAACAGCATAATACAGTCCTTGCCTAGAGGGCAACTGCTCTATCTCCAATAAACCCACATTGTATACATCAGGAAGGTATTTCTCTTTACAATACACGACATAGAGAAACATTAAATAAATCACTGGCGTATTCCAAAAGAACAAATATTTTGGATTCACACATTTGGAAACTAAACTTACTAAATTAAACTGGTAAATATATTTACCACAAATGGTGCTGGCTAAAGGTAAAGGAGCCCTAACATTACAAAGTATCTTTGTATATTTTTAGAGAGAATATCACTGATTGCTTTGAAACTAAATAATAGGAATCTAAAAATTAAAACATTGAAGACTTGGGACATATGAAATATCTGGGGTTTTGAGGGTCATACTTGTGAGAACTTTTAGTGACTAACAATAATGGCAAACAGCTCTTTTCACTATGAAATGATAATATTTATATGACTGTAAAACTGAGTTAAATATGAATAATTGGAACATGCCAACTCAGATACCTTTAACAATTCACTATACCTCTTTTTTTTCCCCCATCACTGGCTGCCATGCTCTACACTAAAATAAAGGATGGGGAAAACTAGCTGAGAACCCTGAAAGTCAGAATCTGAGAGGAAAAACGGGAAAATAAAGTGGAGACAGGAACAGGACTAACAGGGATGTGTTTTACCCTTCTTTAAATCTCTGTTTCAGTGATTAGCAAGGTTCATGAGGAGGTACACATAACAATACCCCAAAGATCTCTTTCCATGAAGGAAATACCAATGCCAACAGTAACTCTCATATCACTACTATAGATGTGTGATCAAGTATCCTTCCATGCAAAATCATGACAACACCAAACAAAGAAATACATTTCACGACAGTGGTTTTGAAACTCAACTTCTAATTGGGCTACTCTGCCAAGTCATTTTTACATATAATAAATTAGAATCATGTAATCTCACAATTTAGGCCTAGAATGTAAATAACGAGCTATAGAGGGCCCCTGGGTGGCTCAGTTAGTTAAGCGTCTGCCTTCAGCTCAGGTCATGATCCCAGGGTCCTGGGATCGATCCGCACATCGGGCTCCCTGCTCGGTGAGGAGTCTGCTTCTCCCACCCTCTGTTCCTCCCCACTGCTTGGGTGTTCTCTCTCTCTCGAATAAATAAATATTTTTTTTAAAAAAAGAGCTATATAACACTGCAAAGAAAAGATGTGCTTATCAAAGAAATACCTATTTGCTGGATGTAGTACTGTCAGTAACCATATCAAACAATCCATTGTGGCCATATTTAATTAGTCAAATATATTTTGATTAAAGTATACGCTGTTTTCTTGGAGGGGGGAAGCAGCATTGGAAAGTGGCAAATGT